ATAATAGAAGACCCCAAAATTTGACCAAAGATTTATTAAACAAGGATACACTGATATAGCATACCCCATAGCTCAAAGAAATAGGCAAGGGTGATGATGTATCATTCTACCAGAGTTTAAATAAATAGATATGAATGAAGGGTAAGTTTTACCGAGATATGACGACGCAGATAACTCGCCAATACTTTGAAAATAGATCGTAGATTCTTTTGCATATTTATAAAAACACACGTCTTGGAAATGTTGACTTACTAATTCTTGGAGACTAATATAGTAAGTTTGTGACGCAGATTTTATATATTCATCGTAATCTAGGGGATGAATAACATAAAACTCGATAACACATTGCTGCTTAGAGGCTGATGCCATGAGTCAAAGATTTTTCGTATACCTATCACAGCATAATGGATAGATAATACAAGCTTGAAACCAATTATTTAGAACTTGGAAGGACGAAGTTGGTTGTGTCAGTCAACCAAGATTCATTAACCAAATGAAGTAAGCTAGATTTGAAGCGATGAAACCCAAATTCACTGATGATGTTTGGTTGTGGCAACCCTCAACCACAACTATCAACACGAAGAACAACAAATTCATGATGATGTAGGTTGTGCCGCCCTCAACCACAACTATCAACATGAAGGAAAATAAGCACCAAATTCACGATGAAGTTGGTTGTGTCGCCTTCAACCACAACTATCAACATGAAGAACACCAAATTCATGATGAAGTCAGTTGTGTCGTCCTCAACCACAACTATCAACATGAAGCAAATATACCCCAAATTCACGATGAATTCGTTTTTGTCATCCTCAACCACAACTATCAACATGAAGAACACCAAATTTATGATGAAGTCGGTTGTGTCATCCTCAACCACAACTATTAACACGAAGAACACCAAATTCATGATGATGTCGGTTTTGTCGCCCTCAACCACAACTATCAACATGAAGGAAAATAAACACCAAATTCACGATGAAGTTGGTTGTGTCGCCCTCAACCATAACTATCAACGTGAAGAACACCAAGTTCACGATGAAGTCGGTTATGTCGTCCTCAACCACAACTATCAACATGAAGCAAATATACCCCAAATTCACGATGAAGTCGGTTGTGTCGTCCTCAACCATAAATATTAACATGAAGAACACCAATTTTATGATGAATTCGGTTGTTTCGTCCTCAACCATAACTATCAACATGAATAAAATATATCAAATTCACGATGAAGTAGGTTGTGTCATCCTCAACCACAACTATCAACATGAAGAACACCAAATTCATGATGAAGACGGTTGTGTCATCCTTAACCACAACTATCAACATGAAGAAAATATACCCCAAATTCATGATGAAGTCGATTGTGTCGTCCTTAACCACAACTATCAACATGAAGAACACCAAATTCGTGATGAAGTCGATTGTGTCATCCTCAACCATAACTATCAACATGAAGCAAATATACCCCAAATTCACGATGAAGTTGGTTGTGTCGTCCACAACCACAACTATCAACGTGAAGAATTCCAAATTCATGATGAAGTCAGTTGTGTCGTCCTCAACCATAACTATCAACATGAAGCAAATATACCTCAAATTCATGACGAAGTCGGTTGTGTCATCTTCAACCACAACTGTCAACATGAAGAACACCAAATTCATGATGAAGTCGGTTTTTATCCTCAACCACAACTATCAACATGAAGCAAATATACCCCAAATTCACGATGAAGTCGGTTGTGTCGCCCTTAACCACAACTATCAACGTGAAGAACACCAAATTCACGATGAAGTTGGTTGTGTAGTTCTCAACCACAACTATCAACACGAGGAAAATAAACACCAAATTGCTTTAAAGTTTTAACTATATAGTTCGCACGGATAGGCTTGCTAATGATGAACCCCAAGAAAATTCGTAATTTAAACCAAAGTAGCTTTGCAAGATACCATGCATGCATAATGCCCTAAATTGATGTGCTATATGTAACACGGTGGGAGAACTGACTTGGTTGTTTTGCGTTTTATCACAATTGTTACGGATAGCAAGAGTCGCCACTGACTTTTCTTTTATCCAATAAGGAAGGGGTAAAAATAAAAAGAAAGACCTTTGAGATATTTTCTTGAGTTCGGGGGGTATGTTATGAAAAGGGAAGGTGTCAACACCCTTTTCATCCATAGTTATCTACGGGCTCTTAGTTGCTTGCTAGATCACTTTTGAAATTGCTTTGTTTGAAATGTGTTTGTGGTGGGTTTTGAAAGTATTTTTGAAAAGCGCCTTCGTTTAGGCAAACTTTATAATGATTCTTGTCTCTATAAGAATGCATACAAAGTGTTGGACTTTTTGAAAATATTTCATGTTTTTGAAAGTGTTGGTGTGTTTGAAAAGATGTTGTTTTGAAAATGGTTGTGAGCAAGAAACTAAGAATATTCTACCTACTCAAAATTCTTTTGTTCATTTCTCTCTTCCTTTGATATTGTTATCTCACTATTGATTGGTAAGTAACCCTATATTTGGATATAAAGGAACAAGCGTGGTTTATCGTATGGTCATTGATAGCAATGTTGTGAGATACCTTAGCATTTTTTCTTAAAGGGCTAAGATCATTTTGAAGGCAATATTCGAAGCATCGTCGAGGGACTATGGTCTTGTATTTTTGATTGTTTTTGCTAATGCGTCTCACATGCATAACATAACCATTTATTTAAGGCAACAAAGAAGAGTCATCCCTAGAGGTGTAAGTGTGCAAGTGTTTTGTATTTCATGCTTGATTTATCTTGGATTAGGGTTTTCTAAAATTGATTTTATCTTTCCATACAAACCCTAATTACTAGCATTAATATTTGAAAGCGGTAAATCGCGGAAAGTAAACATCCTATGCTATTACATCTTTTAGGGAATGGGGATACAAGTTTATGAATGGGGAATGAAAGCAATTAAAACCCACTTACTATTACAACAAAATTGAATAAAAATAATAGTAAAAAAATCTCAAAAAATCAAGATTTTTGGTGTTGAAGCTAACACAGGCCGTGTCCTGTAACACGGGCACCCGTGTCAGAACCTTGTAATAATTATGCATGTCTTTTTTTGTCCCAGTTGTGCTGACACGGGCAGTGTCACGTAACACAGGCACCCGTGGCAGGCCCCTGTCCTGCCATTTTGTCAAGTTTTAATTCCATTATGTGGGACATGGGCAGTGTCCCGTGACATGGGCACCCGTGTCAGAGCCCTGTCTAGCCATTTTTCTATTTTCTTCCTGACACGGTCCATGTCAGGTGACACGGCCGATCATGTCAGACTTCCAGATATAATTATATGATAAATGTAATAATAAAGAAATGAAATAAATAAATAAATAAATAATTAATTAATTAAACAAATATAAAAACCCAAAAAATAAAAAACCCAAAAAATAAAAACCCAAAAAAACCTAAAACCAAAAGGACAAGGCTTTTAAACCTAGGGTTGAGTCGTCAGCTGTTGTAACTCGTTTTTTAAATCAGAATCGCCACCCTTAATTTTTATCCTAATGGAAGGGAGTCTAAGTGAATAACCCTAAAGTTCAGAGATTCTAGGTTTGGACTCGGTTCTAGACGAAGGGAAGGTGTTAGGCACCCCTTATCTACCTTGTTCGCAAGGATACTAGGTTTAGAAGCGCGATGTTTAGGAAATAGGGTTTTAATTATTATATTAAGGGAAAAAGGGTTTAAATTTTAATAGGGGAACTCACCACGATTTTAATCGTATGCCTACGTGTCCTCTTAGGAGGAATCAAAGTCTCATTTCGTAGTTCACGGTTTGGTTGGTGTTTTTTATAAGATTGCGTAGAATTTATTTTGAATTACCCTTGAACCTTGTCTGGGTTGAAAATTGTGTGAGCTTAGACGTAGTTCACAGTTTGATTCGAAGACAATGCTATTTAATCTTTTTTTTTTGAAAAAATGATCTTGAAGTTTTGATTAAGTTAGTAAAAAAAAGTTTGACCGTTGGTTAGCTGTTATTGGATTTTGATTTAATTAGAGAGTGATAAGACATAGAGTGGGGAGTCTGATATAGTCTCCTTATCACATGGTCAGATATTGGTCACATGTCACTCGCGGATGGTGAATTGGGTGAGTTATGTGGATTTTAATTGTTTGATTTTGAATAATAAATCAGGAGATGATGTGTCGACCAATTTCATTACTCGAAAATGGACATCCTATTATCATAAAATGTTGAAATTAATTTGATTCAAAAAAGTTTAATTTTTAGTTTCTTATAATAAAAAGTTAGTATAATATAATACACTAATTTAATTTTAATAACTAATCTAAATGAATGAAAATATTTTTGTTTGTATTTTTTATAAATACTTAAAAATGGACTACACAAAAGTGATTTAAATAAATTGATAACAAATAAGTGGCATAGAATTGGACTTTGGCCACATATATTAGAATTGAGTCTAATAATAAAAGCACTATATTTTCTACACTAACTAAACTACACATTCCACGTGAGAATGAGGAAAAAATCATCATCCATCAATATGTATAAGATCAATACTTTTCTAATTAAGAAATCAAAACAAATTGTTAATGATAATAAAGAGAGAATAAAATCATTAATAGGTAATAAAAGGTAAAGCAATAAAATCTGGATAAATATTTAATAAAAAAAAAAAGGAATGTAGAGAGTTATGCCTCTCTCCATCCATGTTTATAGACACAGTAGTGTCTTTTTCCAATGACCAATTTATTTACTTTTTTTATATATATTCAAAGTGAAAATTAATATGGACTTTTCTCTCTTTAAACCATACAAAACAACTCTTACAACAAAACAAAAAGACAAAAGAAAACTCTAACTCTCTCTGTTTCTTCCTCATCTATTCGAATCAATTTCACAGTAAACACATAAACTTATATATTCAATCCTTTATTATCTTAACAAAACATCAATCCACCTCACTCAACATCACCCACGAGATTGAGAAAAGGAAAAAAGAATTACCTCACATGTTTAGATTCGGCTTCGATGACACATGGTGTACGGAGGAGCGAGTTGGGTTGCTGTCAAAGATGGAGGTTGCGGAAATAGGGATCTGGTCGATGGATGGACTTGAATCTGTCGGTGACATGCGTGCATGTTGATGGTGAGCGTGGGGTCTCGGCGGTGGCAGCCCGACTGTGGATCTGGAGGTGTGTGCGGTGGTGTCGTCGAAAAGCGGGATCATGGTGTGGTGGTTTGTGGAGGTGCTGGATGTAGCGTCGACGGAGGCTTGATTCAGAATTTGAGTCCTCCTTCATCTTTTCCTGCAAAACAACAAAGACAATAGAAACAGTTTTGTTATGTTTAGGAGTTCCAATCAATATTTCAACTTGATGTTATGTTTCTTCTTTTTCCTTCAAAGATCTGAAACTTTGTTGTTAGTAATATCAGAGACTATTTTTTTTTCTCCAGAAATTGTAGTTATTGTGAATGTTTTGATGTTTGTTGTGTTGATTGATTGTTGTTTCACTATTTTTTTTGTTGGATTTTTCTTACTGTTATTTTTCAAAGGAATTAACATACATAATACTTGACCATATGAATTTTCATGTACACATATTGTGATACATGATATTGATTCAAGCTGTTATGTATAAAGTGTCAAAGGTTAAATAAACAGTGCAAAATTATATCAAGGTTGAACCTATATACAAATCAGATTTGATACACAAAAAAGTTTCATGTTGAAAATATCAGAGAGTAAATGATATTAATCCCGTAGACAAAGAACAAATTGCAAAAAATGAAACAACAAATGGGTAATTGCTATAGATGTTTGAACTGTGTTGTCATCATGAAAATTTTGTATAAACCTGCAACAAAATAAAACAAGAATGGATAGAAATTTATACAAAAAGTTTGTTATTAGTAATAAATAGTACTCCCTCCGTCCCAAATTATAAGAGAAATTCATTTTAAGATTCATTAAATAATTAATGTATCTGGTCTATATAAAGACCAGATACATTAATTATTCAATGAATTTAAAAAGTAAATTTCTCTTATAATTTGGGACAGTGGGAGTAAGAGACTGTAAAAAGACGATGACATATAGTTTGTTATTATAATGAGTTAATAAATGGGAAAAAAGTGTTTACAGTGTGAAAGTATATGTTTTTATATGGAAAAAAAATATATTCAAGAGTTCTATGATATGTAAATAAAATTTATGAAAAGTTTTGTATAAATTTCTACCAAAGGTGTTTTTAAATAAGAACCATTAGAACAAAATCATTATATGGGTAAAATAACAAATAAATTGAAAATAAATTTGAAAACAAAAGAAATGGGGCCTCGTGAAATCATCGGCCGTAATAACAAAATAACACCAAAAGTTTTGAAAAGAAATTTTAAAAGAAAGTGTGTGAAATTGTGAGAAAGTGTGGATGTGTGAATTTCTTTGGATGAAAAACTAGGACAACGGGGAGTCCTATTTATAGAGTGGGAATTAGGTTAAACAAAATTAACAAGTAAGTTATCAAAAGTGAGTGAAAAGCCCAAGCTCGATTTCAAAAAAGGAAAGAAAATTAGTAACAAAAAGAAATTAAAAAAATATCACAATTGCTCTACAAGAGGTTCAAACCCACAACCTTATACTTGCAAGCTTTATTCTTTACCAATTATGTTATGTTATTCATTTATAAATAAACTCAATTTGAAGGAATATGAAAGATGTGTAGATATTTGCTATTTTAAAAAATAAAAATAGTTTGAAATGAATCATTATATGTTTAAATAGATTTGGAAGCGAATATTTATAAAAATCAAATAATATTATAAAAATAAAGTTTAAAATATTTTTGACTGGATTTGAGAATGAACATCTATAAAAATCAAATAATATTATAAAAATAAAGTTTAAAATATTTTTGACTGGACTTGAAAATGAACATTTATAAAAATAAAATAATATTATAAAAACAATGTTTAAAATATTTTTGACTGTAGAAATAAAAGGGCGGACAATTTTGGGATATGACAACCACAAAATGAGATTTGTCACGTGAATTTTATGCCAAAAAAGTTGAGATTTACCATGTGATTTTCATTTTGCAAAATATTGTTTTATTAAACTAAAATAAAATAATTAATAAAAATGCAGAAATTAATAAATAATAAAAAAAATCCAAATAATAATGAAATAATATATGAAAATTATTGATTAATAAATATTCTATTTATGAAATTTAAATAAAAAAGGTTTAACAATTTACAAAAATTAAAAAGCAAAACAAAAATAAAAAAAGCAATCATTCTCATCCATGTCATTTTCATATTCCTCATCTATTACTCTTTGACAACCAATTCTTCCATTTCCACCAAACTCTTGATTACTGCTCTTTGTGATTGCATAAATTATCGTATTTTCTCATCCGTCTCAAATTGCCTCTTCCTCATTGCCTCTAATTGGACATGTAGCACCATCTCACGTTACTGTTTATTATGGAATTCGGTAAACAACCGCTGATCTTCCAAATCTTTGTAGAAATGATAACTGGAAGGATCAATCAGATTGATCCTAAGTACATGTGTTCTTATTTAATGTTTTATGTTCTTATAACAAAGAGTATTTTCAACAATGTCTTCATTATTTTAGATAAATGTTATTTCAATTATTATTTCGTAGATAGTAACATAATACTTTAAAGATAAGACTGAAATGCAAAAGGATTTCGACTTGAATTTAAATGGAATGTATAAAACTTCAAATAAAATCGAATGACTATAAATGTAAAAATGGTGCATCATACGTACATTCTCGCAAACTCTTTTCTCTTAACACTGGTACTTTGAGTGATTTGAGTATTTGTACAAAAGATGTAAACACGCTGAATCTTAACACTAAGACTCCTATTTATACTAATTTCAACCAAACGGTCTCTAAATAATATGACACCACGTTCGAAAATCGCATGTGTATTCGAATTTCAAGCTTCCACGCGTCTCTTTGGATAAGATTAATCTTTTTGAATTTGAAACTCCTTATCTTCAAAGCGTCAAAATGTGACGGTCGAAGCATGCTCATTGATACTTCGACTAAACTTGATATCTTTATGGTCCGTATACGGACCTTTCACCAACACTTAGCAAAACTAAAGCTTCAGTTTTAGCCCTCCACTTATCAAATTCTTCTCATGGACTCTTTTCTTCATTCCTTCGAATCACATCATCCAAAATATATTAATTCAACTAAAACTCATGTAGTCGAAATTTCTAATTAACAAATTTCCCCCAAAAAATGTGTGTTTCAAATTTCTTGGAGAAACATACATTTCTTTGTAAGAGTATATTTCGACGAAAAGACAACCCTCATGATGGATAATAACTGTTGTGACGTCAGAATAATCATATCTTACTTTTTCAAAATTTATAATCAAGATGTGTACATAACAATTCCTTGATTGCTATAGAAGTAGGTTCCCAATGTGGCTTTTCAATAAACAACATTGTCGCACACTTTTCTTGGCGCTCGATTGCGACAGTGATGATATGAAATAGAAATGTAGCGGTAAAGATTTGAGATTAAGCCATCAATTGACTTATCTCAACACAATGAAGTCGCCACCGAACTTTATTGTTTCCAAAGAGAAATGGGAAAAAAGCGAACAAAACCCAAAAAGATCAGAGATCGAGGTACGAGGGTCGGTTATGCAAAGGGAATGTATTAGCACCCTAAGCATCTACGGTACTCCGCAAGATCCGCTTTGTTTGGTTTCTTTTAAAAGGAGTGTCATATAAAGGTTTACTTGCAAAAGGAAAAGAATGAATGAGTATTTGCAAACAAAAGAAAATGAAATGTTTTTTATTATTTTTGTTTCTCGCCTTGGGTCGTAAGACTTAATGCCACGTACACCCTCGTGCAATGGGAAAGTCAGAGCACCATAATTCGGATAGAAAAGACTTGTCTGTTGATTGATTTTAAACAAGGAGACAAATCGTCATTGTTAGGAGAGAAATCTCGACTAACGCCCACAAGGTGTGAGAAAGATGGACCTTGCGTCAACAAGAGTGAGGATTTAAGAACGCCTCTAATACTCAAGTGGAAAAGTCGACAACTTTATAACCATAGGGATAGGAGAATGTTGCTCGACTATCAATGAATCATGTCTCATCTTGAAAAAAGTTTTGAAGGGTAAAGGTGCTCGGGTGCACAAAAGAGTTTGAATGTGTTGAAGTGTTTTTGTTAATTTTGAAAGAAATGTCAAAGCATGATTAAATGAATTGAAGTTTGTTTAAAGAAAAATAAGTTTTAAAAGAAAAAGCACTCGACAAAGTCGAGGTTTATTATGAAAGCGGTTTGAGTTTATAAAACAAGGAATATTTTGAAAGAAGATGAGAAGGTTTTGAAAATTAAAGAAGATGAGAGGAGATGAAGGGACTATCCTAAAGCATAAAGGTAAAAGCTAAGGAAGAGAACCGTCTAACTAACAAGAAGCCAATACTTGACATTATGGGTCAAGATAGAATTCCCATTATTTGGAGTGAAACCAAGAAAGCAATGATATTAGACCTCTTGAGAAGACCAAACTTCAAGTGTATTAAGTCTTCGAAAAAATTGGGCATAGTAACGACTGTATACGGGTGAATTCTAGATTACAAGCAAAGTATGTAATCACAATAACCTGCACACAAAACAAACAAGCAACCCAATGTCTTGAGGTAAACCTCAAGAGCTCCAGACAAAATATCCATTAAGATCACAAGGTCTCCAATGTAAGCCAAGGTTTCTATTCCTAAGTCCAAGAAGTCCAATACTCCATAATGCCAAGGATAGTAACCAAGTAGTCCAAGTATCATTAAAGTTTTTTATGGTTCATGTTGATTATTAAGTGTCTTTAAAAGGAAAAGAAAAGCTCAAGTGAGCAAAATAAAAATGACATAAAAGTAAATGCTCAAGTGAGCAAAGATGAAAATAGCATGAAATGTAAATGCAAAAAGTAAAGGTACATAAAGCATAAAAAATAAAAGCATAAAGTAAAGTCAATTGTTAGTAATTAGTGCTTAGTTGGATGACCATCTTTAAACTTGCATTTGAAACTCATTAGAGGATTGGTAGAACCAAAGCCTCCACACAACAAGTTGCATTTGCTTTTTGTCAAGTATATCATCCATTTTGGAATCCTCAAAAAGTAACATGTAATGATCAACGAGGTTTAAGTGATCCACGTTGACCAAAGGTGTTGT